TAGAATTATCATTCAACTATATCATCCATCATTATTATATACAAATTTACAGCTAAAGCAGTTAAACGTATTTATTCATACACAAGAGAAATGATGAAGAGACACTTTAAAAAAATGAGACTCTCCATAAACTTACTGCCACCTTATGTTTTTGCACAATATTTTATAATTATGTCTCGAAAATTGTCGTTAAACTGTGAGATAACAGGACGTATATAAAAAGTCCCGTTACTATTTCTCTCATACACAATTACACTCAAAATCCTGGATTCCTTTCCATCCACATGATTTGTGTGAAATTAAACATTTACCATCGAATTAATATCCTATTTAACCCTAATTTGCCTATAATTGATTATAAAAATGCTTATCAATGTTCTTGAAATGGAATTTGGAGCCAATTAAAGCCAAAAACTTGTTTCATGGGATCCAAAGATGGACTGGTCTCAATCATTGTTTGTTTATTACTTTGTTTCTGACAGATAATAACATGCAAATTATAATTGAAATCTTGGTTGGAAACATGGTGTGTCCCGCTAAGTACTCCCAGAATCTTGGGCCATACGCATGTAAAGATGGCTGGATATCAACCGTTAGATTATCACTTGCATGTGGATAACAAAATAGGGATTATGATGCTTAATATAAATTTGTTTAATAAAACAAGCCAATTAGTGAGCTAATAATTTAGATTAAGGAATGATGACTCTAGCTAGACTTTAATTCCAGAGCAAGAAAGTTGCTGCTAGAGTGAAAACGACAAGAAATGATTTCAAATTTCATACGTAACATCCAGACTCGCCTTATAATCATGTGTGATTTTGATGTTATTAGTTTTTACTATTAAAAAATACAAAAAATAAAAATAAAAAGAAGAATTTGTTTGGTGTTTTGTGAGAGTGAGAAGAGCAGCTTTATTTGGATTAGGTCCACCGTCGCATCGTTAGGAACAGAGCTATAAATTTCTCCTAATAGGGACCATCCGAAAAACAACTAAAAAAATCTTATTATAGTATAGTTTTATACCCAAATGTGATAATAAGGACGATTTTAAATGATGATGTATCATAATTTTAATGTTACAAAAAATTCAATATAATAGTGGAAAGTGGCAAAATGATGAAAAAAATATTAATACATGATAGATGGGAGATGGGTTTTTCGGTTTGAATGACATAACAAGAGCACTTTTGCTCATACAATATTTTGATACGGAGCATAAGTAATATGAACGTATATTAAATATTAGATACATATATTTTCTTCATAAATAGCGCATGTATATAGTATAATTATAATCTTCATTAGTTGTCCATGCGCATTGTTATCTAATAACACAATATCACTTGTTAATCTCACATCATGCTATTAGATCGAGACAATACTGTGATAATAAGACGGTGTACCAAATATAAGCCATCAAGAATGAGGCATTGGTTTCAAGAAAACGGGCAAGTCTCACACTTTACTGGGAAAAGGAAAGAAAACTGTACTGTTTATTTTTAAGATGAGCATGTCATTGTTTGTACACAAAAAAATCTTACTAGAGATGATATATATATTATATATATATATATATAAATATAATATATAATATATACATATATGTTGCAGAAATCAAGAACTTTCCTCAATCGAAGCAGATGGTAATTACATTTGTTTAAGTTATCGGGCATAGCAAAAAGACAAGATTTGGTTGTTGAGCTGATATTTGATCTGATCTGGGCCCGATATTGCACCTTTGCAGGCTGATGTTGTTTAAGCTAACAAAGCTGCATGGATTAAGAAAAATGTTATCTTGCAATATAGTTTTATAGAATGTGAATATGAATTATTGATCACGTTGATTTGATCAACAACGAACATTTTTATGATAAAAGTTTAGTCTTCATGTTTATGAACTATTAGCTTGTTGATATATAAGACTCCATTTGCCCGAAAAGATTTTACGTGTTGTAACATTAGTGTTATAAAACCACATTCTGTAACACGTGTTTTTTTTTTTAACTAAAACAAACACTAAAATATGTACAAATATGTCGTCCAATATTATAACACAATAAATTAGTAACCGTACGTAGAAATGATAAGATCACATTGACAAAATTTATGCTTGCCCAAACAAACTTAGGAAACAAGAACCAAGAAGAATATGGTAATTTAAAGCACTCAAATATATTGGGAGAGAAAAACTCATATACATGGTTTACACATTGTCCTGCCCAATGAGTCTTTATTTGATATTCATGAATTAACTCTGTTTTTTCTTAATTATAAGTGATATTTTTATTCTAAATTACACTAAGAGAAGGAAGGGGTTTAAACGCAAGATGAGTGGGACAAAAAGTAAGATCATATTCACCTGAACAATCCGCCACTTGTCAAATTCATTTTTCTTCTTCATTAAGTTTTCGTCCAATGCACATAATAATACCAATCGAATTAATTACATTATAGTTGTATTGCGTGTAATAGCACTTCTTCGAATAGAAGATACAAATTTAGGATGTAAAGCCACATTACATCTCATTTTACATTTCTCGGAGAGGCATATTTTAATTCTCTTCCAGTGGAAGAGATGTAAATTTAGTATCTCATTTAATTTTCTCTCTTTAATCAGTTGAGTCCACCTCAAAACATGAAGAAAAAAAATGTAAATTTACATTTTTATTTAAGTCTTCTTGCTTGTCAAGACGAGTGTTTTATATTTCTTCCATTAGAGAACTTTTCGACCAACAAAAAATGTAAAATGCGCATTCCAAAGCATTTTGCATCTTGCATTTGGAATGCACTTACCAATAAATTGATCTATGGGTTTTCAATTCAAACAAGGTTACACACAGAATAAACTAAATACAAATAATTGCCTTACAATTGGACATAAATACACACACACATGCCAAAGCAGGCGTAAACACAAGTACAGAGTACAAAATAATGGTGGTTAAATTATAGTGGTATTGCTTTTAGGGTTGATAAGGACTTATCAACAAAAGATTGGACCACGAGTACCACAAGACCAACCAAAAAACTGAAAAATTCTACCTACCTATTTCTTTTCCTCTTTTATCTCAAAACACAAAAGAAGAAAAAATTTTGACCCAAAAAAAGAAAGAAAAGATATCCTAATAGATTTTATTGAAAGTGTGATTCTCTAATTTTTCATAAACTCTCTGACACGTCATATTTTTGACATAATTTTTTTATACAAAAACACGAAAATTAATGTTAAAATATATTATGTCAAAAAATTCAAAAAAAATCTTACCATGCGCATTTCTAAAAAAAGTTAATAAGAAGAAAAGAAAAATGAAGATCGTCACTCTCTCTCTCTCCTTGTGTCAGTGTGTCACAGTCACCAGTGTTTTCCTGTCCCAAGCATCATCATACGGTCCACATCATAAGAACCTTCAATCAAGACAACCACAGTAAAAGACAACAGCTATTTACAATTAAGATATCAAATTAAAAAAAAAAAAAAAAAGGAAGAGTTTTAACTCCCTCTCAGTTCACTAATTTAAACTACATATTAATAAAACTTTTTTTGTCAACCAAAATTTTATCAAATTACCACTTTAACCCTCTCACTAGAACTAACACAAAAAAAAACGTGGACAATTTGGTAATTATGCCAAACATAAAGTTTACTGTTTCTTATGCTAACATCACAACCATGTAAATATGGCATATCATATTTAAAAATTAAAAAATAAATAGATAAACCCCACTTTTCTCCCCTCATCCTCTCTCTACATTCCCCACATTCTCCTACCTCTTCTCTTCCCTTTATTTATTTATTTTTCTTTTTTAAGTTGTCAACCGTGCTCATTAATGATAAGTCATAGCAAAATAAAAAACAAATTCAGTTGAACATATAAAGTGTGTGCAATTGCTAGTATTTATGAAAAATTAGAAGAAAAAAAAAGTTTTATTACATATTTTGATGTAATAATACAATGTCGTATGTACAACGAGAGGATGAGCATGTAAGACCATCTCCAATGGTTGGGCTAAAAGTCAAATTTTTTAGCCCGAAAAATTTAGCTTTTAGCCCAAAAACAGCTTTTCTACTCCAACCATTCTATCCTAAAATTTTAGCCCGGGATTATTAAAGAATGAATTTAGGCTTTTTTGTTTTTGTTAAATTAATTTTAAAAAAAATAAATATGTAGACTATCGTAAATTAATTTTATAAACATTTTAATCTAAAAAAATTTAAATTCCGATAAATATTGGGTAGAGTCCACCCCGATTTCTGAGCTAAATTTCGGGGGGAATTTGGCATTGGTTTAGCATTTAGCATTTAGCTCAAAATTTCCCCTTGGGTTGGAGTGCGTTTGGGGGGAAATTTTGGGGGGTAATTTGGCTTTTAGCCCACCATTGGAGTTGGTCTAACATATGTAAGTCATCCTCGTGTTTAAGCCAAAAATAATGAATAAAAAAGTATATTATTGTCCTCTGGCCCATCCTTGACACAAGAGGATTCTCGTCGGATCATCTTTGTAAGGATCCTCAAATCACATTCGTTCATCGTACATCGTGCGATAATAAATCTTTGTAATTTTTTATTTAAAATTAAATACAAACAATACCTAACAAAAATTGATTAGAAGATCTATAAGATCCTCACAAAGAAGATTCGGTGAGAATCCTCTCTCATCCTTCACCACTACAATCCAGAATCACCTACCCAAATCTCTGTTTTTCTTGGTTTTTAACAATTTATAAAATTTGTTTTATAAAATTTTACACGAGGATTGTGCAGCAGAAGTCTGCAGGAAAACGAGTGACGACTTCGAGGAGGAGGCGAGGAACTGGGTTGGGCGGTGGATGTACGTATGACGGGAGGTGCGGTTAGTAATATGAAAAAATTGGAAATAGTAGAAGTAGTGGTGGAGGGGGCCCGCAAAATAGTTGCATCCACGCGAGAGTGGGACCCACAGGAGAATGGGATGGGAGAGTAGCAGCTAAAGCCTAAGGCTAGTGGGGGCTGGCGCAGCGGAGAGACACTGAGGCGTGTTGTGGTGGCCTCGTTCTATATATGAAACCGTTGCAGAGCACAGGAGGAGGGACTCGAATTTTCTCAACCACCCACCACATACACACAACTCACACACTTTCTCTGCGTGCAAGCCAAACCAATATCCAACCTCATCGATCATCTCCCTTCTTGTACGGGATCAAAACCCCATCTCTCTCTCTCTCTCTCTCTCTCTCGATTGGGTTTGCTTTGTTATATATTGGATTGGAGAGGTAGGGTGGTGACTTGAGCTTCTTTATTACCTCACTCTGCATGTGAATCCTCTCTCTCTGCCTAAACCAAAAACTTTCTCTCTCTCTACTCTTCAATATCCCTCTCTCTCTAAAAAAACAGTGTTTTCTTGCAAATTGAGGAGTGTTTGATTGATTGCATGAACTGATGGATCCGGCAAGTGGACAACAACAACACCAGGTAGGATATTTCATGAGAATTCATCAGAAGCTGTTTTCATTTTTGTTGTGTCCAGTTTCCAATTATATTATAGGATGGTGGTCCTTAATTTCTTTAAATTTTTATTTATATTACTTTTCTGTTTTGAATTAATGTAATTTACCTTGATTGTTATGAGTTGGTGGCTGATTCTGTTTGGTTTTGGGTCCAATTCTTAAAGAAGGCTTTTGGCTTCGAGTTGTTCTTCAATTTTCCAGAAAAATAATTCATCTTTTAGTTGTGTCTTATGTTATTTATGAATGATGTTTAATTTGTTAAATAATTCATAACGCGTTTTCTATAAATACATAGAGTCGGTTTCTGTTTTTACAGTTTATTTTTTCTTCTGGATTGAATTTTCATTGTTGATAGGAATAATGAATTTTTTTTTGGTGAAATAGTAAACTTAAAAAGCAAGCAAACATGAAATTATGTTGCTGTTAATAATTACATTCAGTTCTAGGTCATGCCATGAGTTCATACTCACAATTTGATCAACTAGAGTTATTTAAATGTGTAATTCAGATTCACAGTCTAAAACTGTTAAGATTTGTCGTCGTACAAGTTTGCCAGTATAATACATGTGAATGCAACATATGTAACTTAAAAGCAAAGCTTAGAATATATATTTTATATATACTATTTATCTATTACACTATTACTTCATGTCTTGACACATGTAATTGTCTGTTAAATTCTCAATTTTCTAATTTTTTTTTTTTTTATTATCATCAATGATTCAGGAAATGTCAGCTGAATCACTGGACATGCTGGTCTGCTCAAAATCCCAACAGCAGCAGCAAGACAGGAAGCCCAGGCCTCAGCCAGAACAAGCCCTAAAGTGTCCAAGATGTGACTCCACAAACACGAAGTTCTGTTACTACAACAACTACAGCCTCTCTCAGCCCAGGTACTTCTGCAAGTCCTGCAGAAGGTACTGGACCAAAGGTGGCACCCTCAGGAACGTTCCTGTGGGTGGAGGCTGCAGGAAGAACAAGAGATCATCGTCAACGAAACGAGCTCAGGACCAACCGCTCACACCCAATTCCAACCCACTCCCAGCCCTAGGTTATGACTCAAATGACCTCACCCTTGCATTTGCTAGGCTCCAAAGGCAACAATCATGTGGTGGGCAGTTAGGATTTGATGACCATGACCACATTACTCTCTTGGGAAATCCCACAAATGCCCCTGATCATAACATTCTTGGAAACCCTACTTCAGCTCCTGGGTTTCTTGATGCACTGAGGACTGGGTTTCTTGAGACCCACAATGGTAATTTCGAGAACTTGTATAACTATGGGTATGGGAATGGGAATGGGAATTTGGGTGAGGTGGAAGATTGTGGTGGCGGAATGGGAATCCACCACCCATTTGAAGAAGCCACCACCAACTCAACCACCACAGCAGTGACAGTTACAACAATGAAGCAAGAACTGTTCAATGGCCAAAGTGAGAGCAGCAACAAAGTTCTGTGGGGGTTTCCATGGCAGATGAACGGTGGAGATCATCATTCAAACATGGTGGGGAATGGTAATCACGAGTATGATTCAGGAAGAGAGAGCTGGAATGGGATTGCTTCATCTTGGCAGCATGGACTTCTGCACACTACTCCCCTCGTGTAATAAAAACGCTTGAGCAGCAAGGTTTTTTTATTTAGTGTGTTGGTGATCACCAAGAAACAAAAACTACGAGAAAAGCATAGGTTTTAATTTAATTTGTTCACTTAATTATCAGACTTAAATGTCAGTTTTAGTGCTTTTAAGTTTTGTACTAATTAGTTATAACTTATATATCTTTTGTATTTCCATCTACCTTTTTTTCGTTGGTAAACTAAAGAAATCTCATATTTGCGAGTGATTTTTCTTATCACTAATTCATTCCATGACGAATATTTATTAGACAAATGAATCAGTTCTTAAACACAAATAAATATCTATTAAGCCGAATACGTCACTAAAACTAAATACTTGTTTAATTAATTTTTTATATCAAATAATTCATGTACTATGTCATCAATAATAAAAAAATAAATACATTAATCAACGAATAAATAATAATTTCATCCTCATCAATCTCCTAAATATTACTCAATTGTATAGTCTGAACACCACTGGAACTATATTTTAATTGCGACAGCGAATCCATGTATTTGTCAAGAACCTTGCAAGGTTTGCTAAGGAATCATTCATCCATTCATCCATTTCAAAGAAAACGGTGGTAAGGGGAAACTTTTAATTATGACGGGAAAACGGGTGGTACATTACGTATTTTTATATAAGTGATGAAAAATTTTATTTTTGAAGTTATTAACTTTTTAACACACGGATCCCATCATTTGTATAATAACATGTGGTGTACCACATCATGTGCTGGTCGCATTGAAAAATCTTTCTGGTAGGGGAGAAATTTTTAGTTATGACAGAGACACGGATGATACATCACGTGTTTTTATGTAAGTAGTGAAAAATTTTAATTTTTAAGTTATTAATTTTTTAACAAACATATATCACTGTTTATATAAGAACATGTGATGTACCATCGGTAACATTGAAAAATCTCTTCTGGTAGAGAGAGAGAGAGAGAGAGAGAGAGAGAGAGAGAGAGAGAGAGAGAGAGAGAGAGAGAGATGTTTCATGGATTGTGCAGTCTGAACTGTCTGATTGATATAAAAGCCAAAGTAGTTGCAGCAGCAACAGGCTTTGGATTTGGAGTTAGTGGAGTTTTCAACATATTCTGCTATGATTACATCTTATTTTCAGGTAGATATTCTTGGAATATTTTAATCTCGGGATTATATTAAATTACCTAGGAATAAATTAATTATATTATAATTGAAACTTGATAGGGTTTCTCTTCTCCCGGAGCAATACAAATTTCAGTGAAGCATGACTGCATGAACCACCATTTTCTTAGTCGATTTTTTATTTTTATTTTATTTATATTATAGCAGACAAAATCTAAGTTAGGATTTGGGCGTGAGAATTAGTCAGCACCGCAGCATCCATTTGAAAATTCCATTGGGGCAGTTGTGCGACTTGCGTCTCCTTTTTTTATTTTAGTAGATAGTTTTATTAATTAATTAATTTTATTTCACTGGGACATTTGAATTGTAAATGCGACAAGATTTTCAAATGGTTCAATTTTTTAAGCAGCAATTTACTCCAATTTGATTTTATATGATTTGGTATGTTTGGATTGTGTCGTGCTGAGAGTGACAGGTGTCGTTGATGACAATTCGTCGTTATTCACGATCGCCAAACATGCCCTACAAAGTTTGTCCAATATTTCCATATTATATTGTATGTGAAGGCATCCCAATTTGTTACATTTGTGCAATGTTTTTGTCAAAGATAGACGAAATCTTGTTGTACCATATGCTTTTGTAAGTATGAAACCTGTTTTTTTCCCCCTCAAAGTTTGTACGAAGTTTGAACTTAAATGCGATGGACGATTTTATTCTTTTTTATCAACATGGATGCTTTTGTTCACACTCAAAAGGTTAGTGTGTCGAGGTACTATGGAGTGGTATTCCTTATTATTTGTAAATGAGAAGTTTTAGATTCGATTCTCGCCAAAGACAAATTTGAACCATATTATTGTTAGCTCATTGTGAGGCTTAACCCACTCTCTTCTCCATGTAGATAATATCGTCTGTTAAAAAAAAAAAAAAAAAAGATTAGTGTGTTGACGCATTTGATGGGAGTGTTTGAAGTTAGGGCTGGCTGAAGGAAAATTTGTGAAAAACATGTTCATTTAAGCAACATCAATAGCATGCAATTAACAATTAAAGGCGGAATCATGCTTGTATGCACTTAAAACAAAACATTTACCCATGAAATTCAAAGCCTAGTAGATAGGTGAACCAAGACTCAACTCAAAACAAAGTGAGTTGAGAAATCAATACCTTTGTAGATTCCTCTTTGCATAAGCAAAGGCTAATCACCCAAAGAGAGGGCCTTCATTCCTTGCATCTTAGATCCATGGATTTGGATGGATGAAAAGGTTTCTCCAAGTTCCCAAAATTGAGAACCTCTAAGTCTCCACACCAAGGTAAGATTGAAGAAGAAATGAGTGACCTTGAGGAAGTAAGATTGCTAGATGTTTTCCTCAAGGGTGGCTGAAATTTTAGAGAGAAAAGAGAGCTTGTGTTCTCATCCTTTCCCCAAAAATAACCCTTAGTAAATTTTAGGCTATAAAGTCCTTTATATAGTCCCTTCAAATAAGTGACCTAATGGACCAAAAGCCCTATTCTTTTACACATGGCTAGCCTATAGGTTTATTGGGCTTTCAAGCCCTTTGTTTTATTCAAGTTGTCATACAACTTGAGTTAATGGGCTTGACATTCAAATCCCATTGGGCCTTGCGGCCCAAAACTAACCCGAGGTCTTTAACGAACTTATTCGTTTGATTAATTAACATATTAATTAATCCTAGCCTTAGATAAATAATTAAACCATTTAATTATTCTTACTCATCTCCGTTGAATCTTCAATCTCTACCTTACACGGTGTACGATCCATTAGGTTCCTTTTAGCGAGGCAGTGGGCGATTCAAACTCTTTCAAATCGATTGTGAATTGAAACTTACTTTCAATTCTCCCGTTAGTGATAATACACTTTTAGGGCTTCCACAAACCATGAGTGACACCTAGCAGCATATCATGGTTACCCAAGCTAATCAGAAGAGGTGGAGAACCTATTCAGTTTAGGATTACAAATGCAATACGGTCTTTCTCTAATACAATACTCTTGACCACATTGTTTGGTTTGATAGTTTATTCATGTCTACTATCCAATGTGAATCTTGTGCTTATATGATTACCTTGAATGTGATCTGGAACGCATTCCAACATTTCATTCATACTCTGGCCAGAGATTCCAAATCATATCATAGAGTATTCTCCCTCAAACAGTTTGAAGGTTAGAGATCCCTTGTTGCGCATTCACTTGCCTCCATGGCTAAGTGGCTTAACCCCAACGATGCCGTGGACACCCTGATAGAGTGACGTTGACATAATCAAAGATTAAGGACCTAACCACAAGACAACTGTGATGCCTCAGGTCAAAAGACTAATTTGCATTATCCCAACCATGAGTTCTCATGTGACATGAATATGAGAACTCTTCGTTGATCGTGTTCAGTGAACTCATTCTCTATTGAGCACCTACGTACTTGTCTTGATGTCACACACACCAATGACTCGAGACTAGTCACTCTCCCTGAGAGAAGACATAGCACGTACTGATCTTAACGGACTGTCAATGCCCAATTGACAATCCTATGATCAGGAACGTTTAGGATGTGTCAACGAAAGAATGGTCTCATGAATCTAACTTCTTTAGATCGCATTCTTCCAATCACATATTCCTTGGACTTATCGTTTAAGCATATAACATTTATATGAGACGGCTCAAACAATAATGTTTGCCCTTTAAACTACATTAGTTTGAAATGTCCGTAAAGTATCATCATATGATTGGTTTTAGGGCACATTTCCAACAATCTCCCACTTGCACTAGAGCCAATCAGCTTAGTCATCATATGATTGTACCTCTTCTGTAATTCATTTCATAAATGGCTGAGTAGTAGGCCTAAACAATGGATATCTATATGTTATCCATAGAAGCAACCTTGAGAATAACGACTTCACCATTATACATGATTCTCAATCATGTGGTTCAGTCTCTCATTTAGTTCGGACCTTGATGAGACCTTGATTCCCTGGCTTGAGCTATCGCCCCATTAGTGTCATACACTTTCTGGTTGGAACCGAATGGAGAGTTCATGAATGAACTTTCCCATCCAAACAACAATGTTGTAAGCTTCTATATGGCAATATATTTTGCATACATGATGGAACACATTAAAGTCATTTACTTTTAACGTTTCCACCCAAATATCTCTTTAGTCATAATAAAGAGATATCTCATTATCACTTCATTCATAATGAAGAGATATTCTATGATGGATTAGATTCATAATCTAATACATTTACGCTTCCATTACGTTACTCTAATTCTTCCTCATTCTTGAGGAATCCATCATTAGTATTTCTTAAATACCTAAGGATTCACTTGACAGTTGCCATGGTTCTGATCCTGGGCTTGCACTGATATCATCTTGTACCGTTCTAGGTACGACTTATATCAATGTTTTCATACAATATGAAATACATAAATCACCTTTCTGCGTATGCATAAAGGATTCTATTTACGCATTATTTCTTTGGGAGTCAAAGGGTACATTCCCTTTGAGAAGAACAACTTCCTAGTCTCACTAGAATTGTCATTCTAATTGAAGTTTATCATCATATGAGAAACTTCCTAGCATTTCTTGTCTATTTTAGGGATTGATATAATCCAATTATATCTTGAAATCTATCATTATAGATTTCCATCCCATGTATATAGACCATGTCTCCCATATACATTCTATCATTATAGAATGTTTAAAGTCATAACTTTAACGATGAAGAATTCCTTTCATTTTCAAAATTAATATATATCATGTATATATATATATATTCAAATTTAAGAATATGATCAACTCCCACTAATCTTTTGTAAACCTAGTAAACAAAAGATTCATTTACATCTTTATGAGAAATCAAACAATTGATCTTTTCTCATAAGACGCTTATGGCTCCCACTAGCTTGCTAAGATCCATGATGGATGAATCTCTACAACTAATCATGTCTTAGAAGTATATATCATATATATATATGGGTAATTGATAATGTCCAACGAACTAAATCTTATTTATGTTCATTCTTCTCCTAATGGAGAAATTCATTATCTTATGATGCTACTT